TGCCACGAGAGGGACTTTAAACACATTAAATATCAAGTCCAATCTCTAGGGGCAAAGGGGCTTCCATCGCTTTGGGATGTTAAACGCTCCTGATTGTGTAGCTATATTATTTTACTCACTATTCACTAGCCACGTCCAAGAGTCTTTGTTATTTCACATGATACAAATTTATAAAACAAGACTGTACAACCAATAAATATAGGTTCTTAAGTGAAGGGAGGCTGGTTTAACGACGTTAGAGGTCTGTTGTTGTTTTTGTTCAGATTATGACAAAAATTAGTTTACCAGGCACTTGAACCTAATAAAAAAATGAGTTTAAAAACAAATAAGCTAAGTTAATATTTTGTAAGTTAATAGAGCTTAATTTAATTTAGATTCCAGATAGAAAAATTATTTTCGAAAGTATAATACGACTCTGCATAAAATCCCAACATTGAATGTTCCTCAGTGGGCATTGATATTGCCTGATAATTAATTAAACCCAGCCAAGGTAATTTAGTCACTAAGCATGTATAACTTAACTAATACGAATTATACTTTATGTAATCTGCAGGGAGCGTGCTACAATCAATCAATGCTCTGTGGACCGGTTCGGTCCGTTTCGTGCAAAATATGTGATGGTAATATTACTTTATAGCACATTCTGGAACATATTGCCCCAATTTAACCGACAAAGACCAAAAATGGCGGAGAAGCCCAATGCTGTAGTTGCACACATTGCATACACAAACGTTATCTTGAGCTGACACGCATGAGTGATTCAGGAACTGAGCGTCTCTAAGGACGTTAGGTTTAAGGTCGTGCTGACACAAGCCATCTTAGAAATGTTCAACTTCCTGGTGTCATGGACACCTCAACGTTCACATTCTCCTCACATTACTTGTAACACCGATGTTGAAACGTGATATTCTGTAACTGTATGTCTGTGTGTGTGAGTGTACATGTGTATGTGTCTGGGTCTGTATGTGTTTGTAAGTGTGTATGTGTGTGTGTGTGTGAATGTGAGTGTGCATGCGCGTGTGTGTATGTGTATGTAAAATACGTCTTGTGTTAAGAGTGTGAGGTGACACTATGTTGACACAAGCCGTCATAGAGATGTCCAACTTCCTGATGTAATGGGCGCGTCAATGTCAACATTCTCCGCTATTTAGTTTTAACACTTGTGGACAAACGTAATAGTCTGTAAGTGTGTGTGTTAGTGTGTGAGTGTGTACGTGTGTGTATGTGTGTGGAAGTGTGTATGTTTGTATGTGTTTAGGTGTGTGTATGTGTGTGTGAGGGTGCATGTGTATATTTTAAAATGTTTCTATATATTTGTGTATGATTATTATAATGGTACGAACCATTTTAAACTCGGAATAAAAGATTTTATATTATAGCTTTTATGAGACAAACATGGCAAAGAGTACGGCTTTAAGAAATGTTTTTAAAAGTAAGTTGGCAGGTAAGGCACAACCATAATTGTTTAAATCGTAGCAATCTGATACATTATCAAAGGATCCATATTAAAATTGCCGCTAGTGTTTACGAGTAAGGTAAATTCCGAGCTTGTCAGCTTGGTCCCTTTCTAAATCTTCTTCTTATGTCTGGGTCTCTACATTTTTTTAGACTTCAAAACACAGACAGCCACTTTTCAGCTTTTTGCTCACTCTTTCTCCTTTAATGTGCAAGATGCCCCGTTTGGGGAGCTGAATGGAAAAGTAGACAAACATGAACATTTTTTGCATTGCCTTCCATCTTCCCGGAACATACGACTTTTTGGAAGTACCTATTAGTGTGAATAGCGCTTTTAAAATATGCACTTTAACAAGTCAAAGTTCAGGGCAGAACTACTGATGCGGGTTTTCAAGCGATACTGAGAGTCTTAGTTGCTTCCTCATTCAAGCCAAAGTTGCTCAGCTGTGGAAAAAGAAGTGCTGCCAGGTCTCTGGCAACAGTGAGTAGGTGGAAGAAAGTGAATCCTAGTTCTTGAGAACCCTTAATGTTTTTATTGTTATTTATAAAAGTTGAGCTGATTGTAACAGTTGTAATCGCTTTTTTGTGGAATACTTGATGTGGCACAGTCTCACTCATACACTACCACCTGCGGCCCTCCTGATGATTTGAGTTTGAGACCCTTGATCTAATGAATACTTTGGATTTTACAATTTTAATATAAAAGTAATTTAAACTGCTTACAATTTTTTAAAAGTAGTATGCTAGGATAAAATTTGGCAAAAATGGGGGGGGGGGCAAAATTAATGCAAAATAGACTATTGAGTGCCTTTGCTTTTATAATATAATTACAACCAAGAATATATACCTACAACAATTATTGTGGATCTAAAAGCGCCAATTGCCACCTAAATATATATTATTGAGGCTATAAAATATCATCACAACGTTTCGCTGTTTTCGTAATACTAATGCTTTGTGTTTTCATTAATAGCTTGCAAGATATCACTGTATTAATATTCAACCTAGTAACAACACGCTAGTCTTTCCGTGCTGGTGACGAAATTATTTCGTTTGGAGACTAACCTCCCTCACCCACATTGTTGAAAATTATTTTTTTAAACCGGTTCTCTGAAAATTATTGTTGTGATTATGGTTTAAAAGATCTCTTAATTATTTCTTAAATATCACTTTATTTGTTTTTAAAGATCGTTTAGTTTGTTCTTAAAGACCGCTACGTTTGTTCTTAAAGATCGGTTAGTTTGTTCATAAAGCTCGTTGGTTTATTCTTAAAGATCTCTTAGTTTGTTTTTAAAGATCGTTTAGTTTCTGTTTAAAGATATTTTAGTTTGTTCTCAAAGATCATTTAGTTTGTTTAACAAAGATCGCTAAGTTTTTTCTTAAAGATCACTTAGTTTGTGTTATTAAAAGATCGTTTAGTTTGTTCATAAAGATCGCTTAGTTTGTTCTTAAAGATCATTGATTTTTTTTCTTAAATATCGCTTAGTTGTTCTTAAAAATCATTTAGTTTGTTCTTAAAGATTATTTACTTTGTTTTTATAGAAATTTTAGTTCGTTATTAAAAATCGTTTAAATTGTTCTTAAAGATCGCTTTATTTGTTTTGAAGATCGCTTAGTTTTTTTCATAAATTCGCTTAGTTTGTTCTTTAAGATAATTGATTTTGTCTTTAAGATCGATTAGTTTGTTCCTAAAGAACATTTAGTTTTCTGTTAAAGATCGCTTAGTTTATTCTTGTAAATAATTTAGTTTACTATTAAAGATCATTTGCTTTGCTCTGAAAGATCATTTAGTTGTTCTTAAAAATCATTTAGTTTTTTCTTAAAGATTATTTAGTTTGTTGATATAGATCTTTTAGTTTTTTATTAAAAATCGTTTAAATTGTTCTTAAAGATCGCTTTATTTGTTTTGAAGATTGCTTAGTTTTTTTCATAAATTCGCTTAGTTTGTTCTTTAAGATAATTGATTTTGTCCTTAAGATCGATTAGTTTGTTCCTAAAGAACATTTAGTTTTCTGTTAAAGATCGCATTGTTTATTCTTATAAATAATTTAGTTTACTATTAAAGATCATTTGCTTTGTTCTGAAAGATCATTTAGTTCGTTCTTTAAAAATCGTTTAGTTTGTTCTTTAAGGTCGCTTTGATTGTTCTTAAAAATCGCTTAGTTTGTTTTAAAGATCGTTTAGTTTGTTCTTAAATGTCGCTTAGTTTGTTGTTAAATATCGTTTAGTTTGTTCTCAAAGATCGCTTTATTTGTTTTTAAAGATCGTTTATTTCGTTCTTAAATGTCGCTTAGTTTGTTGTTAAATATCGCTTGCGCTGAGTATTAGATGACCGAAAATATGAGTCACTTTCGGCCGAAACCGAAAAAAAACTGAACGTTAACCTTTCTCTTTCAGCCGAAACCAAATTTAAGCCAAAAGTTAACTTTTCAGTTTCGGCCGAAAGCGAAATTTGGCCGAAAGTGATGAAATGGCCCCTTTCCGCGCCAAAACCGAAGCCGGAATTCGGTTGGTCTCTAATGTATATGTAAGCTGTTCCTGTGTTAGAGTGTGTGTTTCTATCAGCCTGTATTCTTGAAAAAAAAAACAAAAACATCTAATACAACACAAATATGTTTAGAACATTTCACCAAAAAATCTTTATAGATATTTACATATATATATATATATATTATATATATAGATATATGTATAGATAGATAGATAGATAGATATATAGATAAAGATATATATAGATAGATAGATAGATAGATAAAGATATATATATATATATATATTCACGCCTCCATGTATCGTACTACGAATCATTTACACACCTTTAGCTGCGACCAACCATTCAAGCATAACGTGCACTTTTCTTTGTGAAGGTGTTGAGATAAGGTGAACCACAGGGAAGGAAATCTTCAGGTGAAACCTAGGTGTACGCTTTATCCTACGTCAATATTTCTATTGTATTTAATTTATAGTTCTCATGGTTAAAATATATATATTTTTTTAAATTTTAGAGATCTTAACATAAAAGGATATCTTTAATAAAAAAAATAATAAAAAGCTTTGATTTCTGTGGATTATTAAAGTTTCAGAACTAGGTAATGTGTTAACATTTGTGTTACAATGTGCTTTACCGGTTCAATGGTGTACGTCCTTGTGTTCACGTATTATAGTGCCTCTATTGTAACTACACAAGGTAAATGATGTTGTTATATATAAAATTGAAAACGAAACATTAATTGATACATTTAATAGAATAGTGGTTCTTTTGCTGCCTACCATTTTCTAATTTAAAAATAGTATAGGCAATATTTATTTATGTGTAATATCTATACACACTGAAATATGAAAGAATTATCAAGGAGTCTAAATAAATTCAAACAAACGAAAAAAAAAAGAACAGGTTAGTTTTTACTTTCATACTTTTCATTTAGTGAAATCGAGCTTTAAACATAATCTATTTCGTTAATCTGAAGGTTGTGTTATGTTTTGTGGTCAGCTTGACACAAATCGTATCGTGTGTCGCTTTCTTGTTACACTTTTCATCAGCACCTTGCCAAGCTGGCTGGTTTGGCCCACGATGTCAGTTTCCGTGTCACTGTGCTCCAACCTGTGACGTCACTACCGGCCAGTGTCTAGGAGGCTCGAAATGTCAGCTTGGATGGTTTGGAGTGGCTTGTCAATATCGTACGTAAAGTACATTTTCGATATATTTATTTGTATGTACACATCTTTAATCAAATGTTGTGGTAGATTTACACCAGTCAGTGGGAACTATTGTTTTTCTGTGTCTTGTTTGTATCCAGTTCAAAGATACGCGCTATTTTTAACTAAACTATATCGATTAAAAATTACAGAAGACTTGGTCAGTATCAACTCCGCTACAATAACAGCAAACGTTGATTTGTCCAGCCCAAACTGGATAACTGATAGAGATGACTCAACATGTAACGATGACGTCAACCTAGAGTCCGTTGTTGTGACGTGGAACGACACTACCCCATTCACCTGGTTGAGATGTGCAGTTAATTTCAGTTGTATGTTACCTTTTAATTTAAACCAAATAAACATTTTTACAGGATTTTCACACAAAAATAACAACTCATAGCATTTTTCAAGAGCTCACCATTTATGTCCTTGATATCTTATGTCAAAATCTAGTTAATATGTAGGTAAAATAGAGCATGATGTTTTTTTTTTGTCTAGAACTTTATATGTTACGGCTGTGGTTTATTTAAAATTCGGGGTGGGGTTGCAGTGGTGGAGTGGAGGACCGCAACAGGCGCAACTTTTTTCTTCTCATGGAGTTTGCACTATTTGCTGCCAACTGTCAAATTAGCAGTAATAAGATTTCAACAACCAACGTAAATGTGGCGTATGGGTCATTTGTGATGCAAGTTTGCAGACATTGGAAGATACGATAAGATAAGATGAAATAAGATAAGATAATTTTCGTTTATACAGCTAAATAATTTTTTTCCCCACATATTTATTATTATCACGCGCATAAATACTCATACAAAGACAAACAGTTTTAAAATAGAAAAAAAACACAAGACACATGGAAAAAAAACCCTCAATATTTCATCAAGAGCAAAAATTATTTCATTGTGGATAATATTGTCTTTAAGTGTAATTATTTAGAGTTTTTTAACAACCGGGACAATACGTTTGAAAAATTCTAAGGAACAAAGGGATTTGTGTATCTTTTGGTCCTCCATTTGAATGAAAGAATTCGAGCTTATCTTAGTTGTGATGAAATGATGGGAATTTTCGTCCAAATTGTTTTTCTTTTAGTTTTACAAATGCGTGTTGCCCCCAAACAGTTCTTCAAGCGATGGTCGCTTTTTTGTTATAACGATAGTATTTGCTTTCTTGATAATTCTATTTGATGAGAAACTATGAATTTCCAAATCAGCAGGTAATACTGAAGTTTTTTTGGGCTCTGAAATGATGCAGTATACTATAGAACAGGGATGCCAAACTCAATCGCTCAATCAATACAAATCAAAACCACATGTAAGGTTGTTGCCCGAACAGGATGAAAATTCAATAAGCGCAAAATTAATCTTTAAAAAAAAACAACTACATTTATATAGATAAAAAACAGAAAACTTTTAATAATTAAAAATCATTTGCATTCCCATTTTTGTCCTTATGCCAATTTGTCAGAGCTGAATGTTTGGCACATTTTCATGGCTACAAAAGCAAGCAAGTTCGTTTTCGTTGGGAGTAACGTTCTTTATCATTAAAATTCTTATGATGGGCTGCAAATGTTCATCAGTGAGACGACTCTTGTGTGATGTTTTTGTTAATGTTAATCACAGAAAAGAGCTGCTTACACAGATATGTGCTGCCAAGCATGCTCATAGTTCGAATCGCATGTAGAAGAAGCTGGGGCATCTCTTCAGGAATGAAACGAGTGATCCCTGCAGGCCCAACTGTTTGGTACTTTGCCTTTAGTGTCCCATTACACTGCAGCTCTATTAGCTGCGTGTGCAAATTTACAGGTGCTGTTTCCACATCTATGACAAATGGGTTACGAAACAGCTCAAAATTACATTTCTGTGCTTTAATGTAACCAAAGTGCCGTGCGAACTCAGTTCGAAGTAAGCCAAATTTTTCAGCAAAGTGTACATTGATAAAAACAACAGCCTTGACTTGAATATAATTGTACGGCGGGCTGGATGTGGCCCGCGGGCCTTGAATTTGACACATGTCCTATATAATATGTTAATAATTTGTTAATTAAAGCTAAAACAGTGTACTATTGTAAGAAACAAACATTGAAAAATGTTATTTTATGGAATTGTGTCATGTTCATGTCACTTTCGCTTATTATTAATTGACCCCTGTGTACTTGTATGTACTTTATCTATTCTGTGTATGATTTAATTTTTATTATTACTTATGGACACATAAAAACGTATGAGTACATCTACACTTCAGCTGGTTTGGAGAACCTAACAGTCACCTTCAAAACAAGTGCAACGGAGATGACCGAAATGCCGTGCAACAACCAACAAATCTTTCTAGTAGACAATCACACAATGGACATGACGTGCAATGTGACGGTAGGTGTAATGCAGGTGATCATCAGAGGACAGAGTGTCAAGTCGTTGTGTTCTCTTTACATTAGTGGGGGGTGAGTACAGCTTCCAGGTCGTAGGTTTATGTTAAAAATGTGTTGATGAGATTAACCGGTGTAAAGAATATGTGCGCGTTTTTATAAATATTACGTACTGTTATAAGACTTAACAATTTTAACTCGTTAACTTAATCTTAAATTTTTGCTTATAATATGAACAAAGCAAATGGTTACCAAAGAAAGTGACATTAGCAATAAATCATTTTTATTATCCTGTTAAAGTAAGATAAAAATACAAAATCAAATATATAGAAAGACTATACATATATCAAATTACAGCAAAGCAAGTTTTTATCATTTAATACTAGAAAGGTACCTGTGATATCTGTTAAAAAACAACACAGCTCATCTATTAAAAAAAGAATAATTTTTAAAAAAATTACATTAGTTACGATATCAAAATATGTCAACGCACCAATGAAACATCTTCGTTTGCGCATCTTTGTTGACACATCTTTGTTGGCACATCTTTGTTGGGACATCTTTGTTGGCACATCTTTGTGGGCACATCTTTGTGGGCACATCATTGTTGGCACATCTTTGTTGGCACATCTTTGTTGGCACATCTTTGTTGGGACATCTTTGTTTGCACATCTTTGTTGGCACATCTTTGTTGGGACATCTTTGTTAGCACATAATTATTGGCACATCTTTGTTGGGACATCTTTGTTGGGACATCTTTGTTGGCACATCTTTGTGGGCACATCTTTGTTGGGACATCTTTGTTGGCACATAATTGTTGGCACATCTTTGTTGGGACAGCTTTGTTTGCACATCTTTGTTGGCACATCTTTGTTGGGACATCTTTGTTGGCACATCTACATTGGCACATCTTTGTTGGGACATCTTTGTTGGCACATATTCTTTGGCACATCTTCGTTGGCACATCTTTGTTTACCAACACTGCAGTTGAAAACTTATGTTCTAAATCGCTTGTGGAATCGTGACTTACGTTATAGTTGTTTTATTAGATTATTAGATAATTATATTTAATACCTAACCCCGACTGGCTTTATGGTCCTCTGTACCAGGTCAGGTCCCAAATATTCAAATGTCTATTAAAGTACACACAATGTTATTACAACCTAAAAGTAAGATTTGTATGTGCCAATTATTTCAATTAAAACAAACATATCCTTTTTTTCTCAAGCATTCTAAATTAATTAATTTAAAGTTAAAAGTAAGTAGAAAACATATATATTTCTTTCTGACTTCATTGTTAAAAGGTAAACACATAGTTTGTATTTTCTTTTTATTTCCACATAATTTTTTCGAAACTCCGGGGTTCAGATTAACAGGACTATCATTAAGGGACACATGTAATAGAGGTCGAATGTTTTAACGAGAGAATAAATCAACTTTGCTAAAATGCATGCTTTCTGGTCGCTTCAGTTCTTTTTAAACCTAACAATCGTTGAGTTTTGAAACAACTCAAATACATTTTCTACATTTTAGGTCGTAATGTCGCATTGAAACAGAACGCGTCTCAAACCTCTACCTACACGAGGGAAACATCGTTCAGTACCCAGGCATCAAACGCAATTGACGGCAACACCTACGGGGTTGTGTATTACAACACCTGCACACACACAGCCGTCGATGATCCGTCGCCAAGTTGGCATGTGAAGTTTGACCGTCCTCACGCTGTCAACAGATTTGTTTTGTTTAACAGAGTTGATAATAGTGAGGAAAAGGGGTGGGGAACGGTGTTTTTTTTTCCCCTTAAAAATAATATTGTCTTATAGTTGAGCTTGGTCTTGCTGTATGAAAATATCATCAGCGATTTTCGGGAAAATCTACGAATTTCTAATTTTTACCATTGTAACATTTGTTTTAGAGATATTGATATTCTCACAAATTATAAGACACGAAAAACAAACATTTTTTTTTATTTAAATATTTTTTAAAACTATTAACTGTATTTTCGGGAAAAATAAAAAAAAATATGTTCTAATTTTTTAAAGATTTTCTAAATGCTTATTTTGAAGTAAGTAACAACATATAATTTTAAGGGTTTATTAGTTTCAGAAAAATGTGCCCTTCCTATCAGTGACATACATCGACGAAATGTGTATAGACGAGGAATCCCAAAAATTACCCACATACACAGCAATGATAAAATTAAACCTTAGAAATGAATCATTAAAGTTGTCACCCTCTTTGCCCGTCCTCTTTTTTTCCAGATACCCCACTGCACACATTTACCAAGCGTCTAAAAATTATTATTCAAATTTGGCTTGTCACTGTATGGAAATAATAAGATTAAATCAATTATGCAATGTAAACCTAAAGCTTCATTCAACTTTCTTTCAATAGTTTGATATGAACTATTTCCCAACTATAGGGTATATTCTTTAGTTTTGAGTATCTTAACAATTACAACAAATTCCGGTTAAGGTAAGACCATACCAAATTTGCAATAAACCATAGTGCACTTGTATTGCAATATGTGAATATATAACATATTGATTTATATTTTCACACTCCACACTTGATATTTTAGACACTCTTGTTATCCTTGCAGACAATATTCAAAATTTGAATATATTTAATTCAAATGATAAAAGAAACTTTAAAAAATGTGTCTCTGACTTTTGAAAAGAATTCATTCTTATTAGAAATGCTCAAATGCTGCAGAACATATTTTTTCTTAAAATCAAACTATTGTATTTATTTTCTTCCTTCAATTCTTTAGGTTGCGGTGCTGGTCTTCTATGTTCAGACCGATTAAAACATTTTATTCTTCAAAGTGTTGATTCCAACAACCACATTATTTTGAATTACCAAGACACATCTGCAATGGCCTTATCTGTGTACACAGTAACAGTACCAGGCCACCTCAGAGACTTACCCGTCAGTGGAGTACAAATTACTGCTACGGCCATTGTCGTCATCAACAAAAACCCGACTCTTACAATTTGTGAATTTGAAGCCTATGGTGGTAACTGACTTTAGAATTAGCGTCGTATGATATTTTTATTTGCTTACTAAAGAAGGCAGTTGCGTAGTTAGGGTTGGTGTCCCACCGTCCGGGTAAACTCATGGTGTCACACCGTTGGGGTAAACTCATGATGTCACATAGTTGGGGTAAACTCATGGTGTCACACCGTTGGGGTAAACTCATGGTGTCACACCGTTGGGGTAAACTCATGGTGTCCCCCCACGACCCTCACCCCCACCCCCAAAATCCACGATGGATTTATCCTTGTTAAAATGTGTCAATAGTATAACATTGACAAAAAAACAACAAATTTATTTGGCAGCAGGTCTATATTTTTAAGAACTGTAACGTGTACTTAGAATCCCCCGATCACATGAAAGCATCGTATTTGGTATCAGTGGAAAGATTAATTTCTCAGAAATTAGAAGCTATATGTAGTTTCCTGTCACTTAAGAATGTTACCTTACACTTCAAAGACGTTGAATCATGTTAAAAAAGTTGTTGTTATTTTTTGGCAAATCATTTCCGACACAAAGAACTTGACTGTTTATTAAAACAAGCATTTTATTTGGTGAAATGTGTAGGGAAGTTACGGGTGATCTGTTATCATTTTATGAAATCGGTTCCCCCCTCTGAGATGGTCATCCGTTGTGTTCTAAACCCCTTAGCTACGCCCCTGACAGCAGGATATTTTTTATAGTTTCGCATTGTATGATTTTTGATTGCTTGGCATTGTAGGATATTTTTGTTATTGCACATTAATTTGTGTATTTTAAATATTATGCAGGAAATTGAAAGAAATCATCACGTACAGTTAGAAACTTCTTATCTATTGTGCTTCATTTATCTAATAAATATTTAAATAATTGGAATCTAGATACGTAAGAGGATGCTATCAAATTCAGAAACAACGTAGAATGATCAATTCATTGATCGTGGGCAATCAAAATAAAGAAGAAGAAGAAAAACAATGCCTTTGATTTCTCGTTTTGTTTATTTTGGACACTTGATTTTTTTTTTATAAATCCTTTTACAAAGGATTGAGTTACATTTTCATTTATGTTACTTCGATGCAAACTTTCTAGAGTGTGTTCCTGGAACATGGGGTCTAGAATGTAACAACAAATGTAACAGCAGCTGCAACAACACATGTCATCCAGAGACCGGTGCGTGCCCAGTTTGTATTGGAATCAGCAACACGCCGTGCGATGCGCGTACGTTATTTCAAATACCTTACATTTACTAAGGAAAGTTCTTTATTAATTTACTACCACGTTTACCCCATCCTTAACGTGTACTTGAAATGACACAACAATTACGATTTCCAATTACATCATTTAAATTTCTCTATTTCTCAACACAACAATACACATCACAAAAGTTTATGTTTTTTAAAAAATTATATTTCGACAGCGTATAAGCCTGGCACCTGGGGACTGGGATGTGCTCAAGAATGCTGCAGCAATTGTTTTGGAAAATTGTGTGATCCAATCACCGGCGTATGTAATAATGGATGTAATAATCACAGTGGTGTTTCTACGTGTACACCCGGTAGGTATTATCAGGGGGCGTAGCTAGGGTTGGCGTTACCTGGGGCGGTAAATCACATGGTGTCACACCCCCCCACCCCGACTTCAGACGATGCATTTCTTCTTGTTAAAAATAAGGCAAGAGTATAACAATGATAAGATCAAAAACAAATTAACAAGTAAGAGGGTGACAAAACAGTAAGTAAATGCATTTTAGAACTTTTACAAAGTTAAGTTATAGTTATTTTTACATTAAATTTACTTTATTTAAAATTTTCTCTTCCTGGCCTTAAAGGTGAAAACCTGTCAATCACTTGATCAAAATCACTATCCTTCACCGTATCACCTTCAGTTGATAGGTGAGACAGATCAGAAAGCGTTGACTGTCCCTTGGTTGATCGCATATAGTTCTTGATAAGTCTTAGTTTTGCAAAGCTCCTTTAAAATAAAGCCATAGACACAACGGCACGTAATAAACAATTTAAGGCATAGCGAGTGTTCTAAAAAGTACCTTTCAGATAGGAATTTCAAAACATCGACTACTGACCAGTCCATGACTTTGTGAAATCAATATCATTTGCCTTTTTGGTGGCTTCTACGCCTTGGTATTTCTTTTAAACGTTCATCTTCTGATATCTCATCACAGAAAGATGTTAATTTCGGAACTGAAACCAATAACTCTTTATCGCTTGCTGATAGTAGACTCTTGAATGGAACACAACAAACATATCTGCTACTTCCTTGATCTGATATGGAGTTCAGAATGAAAGTGATCTACACATTCCAGAATCTCTCTGATGTTATCTTCTGGCAGAGAGAGTCCAGCATCTATTATTTGTTCTCCTGCAATCTTTTCTTAAACCTTAAATCTTCCCTCTACCAATTTCCATATTGCTCTGATCTTAAAAGTCCCTTCTCAATACCGTGTTCCACCAAATGACAACGCTTCTCCTGCAAAAACAATCTAGAGGCTTCTAGGTTGGGCATCACTTTGTCAAAAGTAAAACCCTTAATGTGCAGATACTGCTGTGTCAGATATTTCGATATATCTTTCATAAAATTTTTCTTTAAAAAAAAATTAATCACGTTTAAATTAATGATTAATAAAAGATTTTAGTAAATTTTTTAAGTATATTATTTTGTTAACCCTATAAATTGTTAAAGAAAATTTTTTAACGATGTCTTACATTTCGACCGATTTGATTCATGTGCTTAGAATCGCCCGACCACATCGTATCAATGGATATCAATGGAAAGCTTTATTTCTCAGAATTTAGATAAATATAGCTTCCTGTCACTTACGAGAGTTTCCGAACACTTCAATCAGCATTAAATCATCGTTACTGCTGTTTTCTGACCTTATTGTTCGTCAGTCGAAGATCGACGAGGATCATGGAGTCATCTGGTGACTGATGACTGGCGCGGTTGACTTTTGTTTAAAGTGAGGAAGCGTTGTGCGGCGTCAACCTCACTCTCTCGTCCGGGCCCACCATATTCAGTGGCAAAACTCTACGTCAAGACAACCACGGATGGGTACGGTTGCAGGAATTGTCATTGTATTCGCCTTACAGGACTCAAACTCCGGGTTTGAATTCAGAGTTTCCTTCTCTTAGATGAGTTGCCGACCAAGGTTTACGAGTCTCATCCACCCGGGTTGATATTTTTGCTTGACAGGAATTGAATTACAGACCACCAACTTGAGGTTTGCTCAGTTTAGACCATTCGGCCACCCAGTCTGACCTATTAATGGGGGCACATTATTTCTTACGCATAAAGCTTGAAGTTTTAATAAGCATACTTTTGGATTGGTTATTTGGTTTGCAATGTGTGGGAAATTAACGTGGGATCGGTTGTCCTTATAAGAAATTCGGTTAGCCCGAGCAGTGTATGCTATGTAAATATGAATTTTCTTTTACTTTAACGTCACCCCTGGGATGGTGTCACCTGGTGTGGTCCGCACCCCTAACTAGGCCACTGAAAATTATTCAAAACCAGTTCAGCTTACAATTACGTGCAGCTACTTTTCAAATTGTTCAAACCGACTTTTTTAAAGTTTGATGTATCAGAGTTTTTGTCGTGTATCCGAGGTAGACGCCCGAATCTCTTAAAATATACATTATATGTACTTTATAATATGTTTAACTCTTTTTAGAAACGAACATAGATACGACTGCAATCGGTGTCGGAGTTGGTGTAAGTGTCGGGTGTTTACTTAGTG